CTTTTAAAATGTTCAATTTAGTTATTTTTGGATTTCTGAACAATTAATCATTTCTTTAATTTATAATATTTGGTTTTTTCGTTTTTGCACTTTAAGTTTCTAAGTCTTAAATTTTTCAATTTTTCGTTTCCTCAATTTTCAAGTTCTTGATTTTTAATTTTCATTTTCCCGATTTTTTGATTTTCATTTTCTTGATTTCATATGATAAATTTTCGTTTTTTCATTTCTGTTATTTTTTCAATATTTATTTGCATTTTATAATCCTTCGTTTAGTTTATTCAATTTTTCTAATTTTCAATCTTTAATTTTTCGATTCTTCGATTTTCCAAGTTCTTGATTTTTATTTTTCATTTTCCCGATTTTTTTATTTTCATTTTCTCGATTTTATATGACAAATTTTCGGTGTTTTCATTTCTGTTATTTTTATCAATATTTATTTCCATTTTACAATTTTTTGTTTAGTTTTTTCAATTTTTCTAATTTTCAATCTTTAATTTTTCGATTCCCCGATTTTCCAACTTTTAAAATGTTCAATTTAGCTATTTTTGGATTTCTGAACAATTAATCATTTCTTTAATTTACAATATTTCGTTTTTTCGTTTTTGCACTTTAAGTTTCTAAGTCTTAAATTTTTCAATTTTTCGTTTCCTCAATTTTCAAGTTCTTGATTTTTAATTTTCATTTCCCCGATTTTTTGATTTTCATTTTCTTGATTTCATATGACAAATTTTCGTTTTTTCATTTCTGTAATTTTTTCAATATTTATTTGCATTTTATAATCCTTCGTTTAGTTTATTCAATTTTTCTAATTTTCAATCTTTAATTTTTCGATTCTTCGATTTTCCAAGTTCTTGATTTTTATTTTTCATTTTCCCGACTTTTTTATTTTCATTTTCTCGATTTTATATGACAAATTTTCGGTGTTTTCATTTCTGTTATCTTTATCAATATTTATTTCCATTTTATAATTTTTTGTTTAGTTTTTTCAATTTTTCTAATTTTCAATCTTTAATTTTTCGATTCCCCGATTTTCCAACTTTTAAAATGTTCAATTTAGCTATTTTTGGATTTCTGAACAATTAATCATTTCTTTAATTTACAATATTTCGTTTTTTCGTTTTTGCACTTTAAGTCTTTAATTTTTCAATTTTCGTTTCCTCAATTTTTTAAGTTCTTGATTTATATTTTTCATTTTCCTGATTTTTGGATTTTCATTTGCTCGATTTTATATAACAAAATTTTCTTTTTTCCATTTGTTATTTTTTTCAATATTTATTCCGATTCCTGGATTTTCCAGTTTTTAAAATTTTCAATTTAATAATTTTTGGATTTCTGCATTATCCGACTTCTTTAATATTCAATATTTGGTTTTTTCGGTTTTGCGCTTTTTCGATTTTTAAGTTTTATTTTTTTTTATTTTCTTAGAATATGTCATTTGTCAAAATCAGTCTTATCTTATCAAATATTAGCCCCGCCCACCCGCCCTCTATTTTCTTAGAGGGTATGTCATTTGCCAAAATCAGTCTAATTTTAGCAAGTAGTAGCCCCGCCCACCTCTCCTATTCTCATTCTAACGACTAATTTTATTTCCGTTTAGTATAAGATCATTCATTTTATTGGGATTGGATAAAACCAATCACTGAAAAGAAGATAGGGTGGGTGGGCGGGGCTAATTATGTTCTTCAGTCGATTGGGAGTGGAAACGAACTATAGAATCTAGGATGTGAAAAAACTAAAAAAAGCGCTAATCTCTAAAATTAACTGTATTTCAATTGACGATTTTGGAAAAACGGTAGGAGTTTTCGAAGAAACGAAGCCGAAAATGACTTCTAGTTATTGAAATCTACAAGAAAATGTCTTCAATTAATTTTCGGAAAAGGTTTCAAAATGCTCGAAAACATCAAAAGTGTCTTATTTTTCTCAATTTTTAATTTTTCGATTTTTCAATTTTTCGTTTCATCAATTTTTCAAGTTCTTGAATACTTTTCCGTTTCTTTCATATTTGATTTTTCAATAATCAGTTTTGCGATTTTCCTACTTTTTTTTGGTTCAAAAATTAAAAAAATGGATATGTAAATGAGTAAGTTTTAAAATCCAATAATTGAAAAATGCAAAAATTCTAAAACCGTAAAACTGATAAAGTGGAAAATTTTTTAAATTATTACAATATGTATGTATTTAAAATGGATATTGGTAAAATTCAAATCAAAAAATAAAAGTAAAATTGGTAGCTAATTTTCCTGAAATTTTTGACAAATAGTATGTTACTGCTCTGTCAAAACCGAAGCATTTATTATCTTCGTTTCTTCAGTGTTTCAAATTCTTAATTTATAATTTTCCATTTTCTCGATTTTTAATTTTGCAGTTTTTCGATTTCACAATTTTTTGTTTTTTCGTTTTCTTTATTTCCTCAGTTTTTTTTTACTTTTGACTGTTTCGTTTTTTCTTTTTTCAATTTTTCAAGTTCTTGAATTTTATTTTTTATTTTACCGATTTTTTTAATTTTCGTTTTCTCGATTTTATATTACAACTTTTCGTATTTTCATTTCCATTTTTTTTTCAATTTTATCATTTTTCGTTTATTCAATTTCTCAAATTTTAAATTTTTTGCTTTTTCAATTCCCCGATTTTTCAGTTTTTTTAATTTTTCCGTTTTGCAAATTTTTGATTTCTTAATATGTATTTGTTTTTTTTTTTCAAATACATATTTCCTTTTTTCGATTTTGCAGTTTATTGGTATTTAAGTTTCTCAACTTTTAATCTTTCGATTTTTCAATGATTCGTTTCTTCAATTTTTCAAGTTCCTGATTTCCATTTTTTAGATTTTCCAAAATTTTCGTTCAATACTTTTCCGTTTTTTGATTTTACAATTTTGCAATTTTTCGGGACTGAGTTTAGTTTTTTTCTACACAGTCCTATAAGCAGACACTAGCCCCGCCCACCCACCCCCTCTCCATTCAGTGGGTACTCTTAATACTGTTCAGTCTTATGTTTACAACAACTAGCCCCGCCCACCCACCCTCTCTTTCCTTGTAGGATATGTCATCTGCCAAAATCAGTCTTATCTTAGCAAGTACTAGCCCCGCCCACCCGCCCTCTCTTTCTTTGTAGAATATGTCATTTCGTAAAATCCGTCTTATCTTAGCTTATTCTAACGGCATTATTTCTGTTCATTGTCAGATCCACCTTTAATTCCGATCAGATACAATGAATTACTGAAACGCAGGCGAGGTTGGTGGGCGGGGTTAACTATACGTTCATCTGTATAGTGTTATTGTACAAAGAGTTGGATATTGTAAAATTAAAGAACCAAAAAAAAAATGAAAAATTACAAATTGAAAAAAAAATATATAAAAATAAGGAAAATAAAAATACCGAAACGAAAAATTACAAATTAAAAAAGTGAAAAATGAAAAATTGAAAACTCGATAAACTCAAATTAGTTGCACATCTAAAAAGTGAAAAATTCAAACTTGAAAACTCGATAAATTGTAAATCGAAAAATTGAAGAAACGAAAAAAAAATTAAAAATATGAGAACTGAAAAGTTAAAAGTGTAAAAAGCTGTGCAAAGAATTTGAAGAACCCGAGTACTCTGAACACTAGTATATCAACCCACTCTTTTTTTAGAATCGCTTATATAAGGTGTCTGAAAAAGCAACCCATCAAAAAAATTACAAGTAATTTATCAAATCATAAGTTTCTGTAGTTGTGGTTTATTAATCCGCCCGTATTTTTTACCTTAGATATTTCAAGTTTTTGAAAAAGAATAAGAACCCGATTTCTCTTCAAAACACAGGTTATCGTTAATATTGTTCTTAGGATTCTACACACTTGTGGTTTATCAAGGTGGCAATTTTTTTGGAATTCCTCATACAGGATGTCTGTAAAAACACCTATATATTTCATTTTCGTGAAATATTGTCGTTATTATTACAATGTAGCTATTGTATCTAAACTGATAATTTGTCCCTTGCTGATGACCTAATAACAAATTTTATTGCAAGATTACGATTTATAGGAGTTATAAAGCAATAAAATTCACAGAATCAAATTTTATAATGTATCCAAGAAACGAAACTTGTTTAAAATTTTTGATAAGACATTAAATAAGTGACACTGTGGTAGTGAACATCACGAAAATCTGATGCACCAGTTTTATTATTAAGCAAATATTTATTAGAAAAATATCTTGTTACTGTGTTATTGCTATTTTAGCAATACGGTTTACGTTTTTACGACTGCTTTCACAGGATGTTCAACAATAATAAATCTATGAATCGATTTAAATGCTTCCTTGGAAGCAGTCCATCTAATGTTTTATTATTTCAGAAACGACCCATTTAATTTGATAGTGTTTGCATTATAAATATTAACAATTAAATTAATAAATTAATCTTCATTGACGAACACCCACGCTGAATTGATTATGCTTCTTGAAGTACTTGGTTAAATAATTTTTAACCATTCTTTTAATTCCCGTAACATTCTTTAAGAAAACTTTCACGCTGTAATTTGCATATGATTATAAATTTTATGAAGATGTTTCCGTTACTTACGGTGTGGCGGAAGGATGTACACTCGCACCTTTATTATTTCTAGGTTACATTAACGATTAGACAGTGTTTACTATTTTATAGTACTCGACTTTGGCTAGTGGTGTTACGACACTTGCCAGAAAAGAGTTCCGTGTGGGTGTGAAGAGTGCTATTACTTGCTTCCAAGTGAACAATTACGCCAAAAATCCGGATTTTTTTGATGAATAAATAATAGCCCAGTTTTGGCGTTTTTACAAAACCACTGACCTAAAATACCACTCGCACACTCTTAATTCGTCGAAACAAACCCGGTAATCTTTGTTTACACGCAAAAAGCCGGCTAATCGCGGGGCTCTCGCCCCTCCTCCCCAAGCCGCCCCTGCCTCCGCGTAAACTTGGAGGTATTTCAAGGCTACCCGCGCCGTCGATGCTCTACCTGAGACCGCCGTACAAAAACACTTACGAACTGTAACCTTCTTGGGATCGTAGGCCGCCACCCTCCCTTCCACGGCCTCGATCTTCGCCCTCAGGCCCTCCGACCTCTTGTTGATCTCCTTGAGCTGGTCGCCCAGCTCGAGGAAGATGTCGTCGGCCACCAGCACCAAGGACGCCAGCTGGCGCAGAGCGTTGCTGAGGGTGTTGTTGGTGACGGCCTCCAGCTCGTCATCGCTGACCAGGGGCCGGCCGTCTTCGTCCCAGAGGCTGGTGCGGCTGAGGTACTTGGGTTCGACGACGCGCTGCACGAAAGGCATTTTCACTCTCAACACTGCATTCTCACTCACGTTCGCACTTCACATTCTTCGAGTTTGTGTTACATTTTCATTTTCGGGTCCGAGATCGCGCCGCAAGAACGCGCCGACACTCGACTGGCGGAAGGCCGGCAAACAAATGCACGAGGTGGAGGCTGCGGTGCCGTCGCCGGCCACGCTTTTGATGGGTTTCCCGCTGCTGGGTTTTGAATGGGTGGGATGGCGCATGACGGAAGAGGAGAAGAAAAGAGGGGCGACATCTAGCGAGCGGTAGATGGAAACGGCATTTGAAACTGTAGAAATCTACAGAAACGTTAAAATAATAATAACATTGTTTAAGTATATTACAGTTGGACAACCTATACGGACAATCACTTTCCCATGTAAAAAAGAATGAATATATATTTTACATCTCACTCGCTTCACTATGAAGTGGCGGTACCTTACGAAAGGGGGTAAAAATAGTCCGTAAGCACGTGATGTCGATAAGGTAGTAAACGGACGTATTAATCAGTACGTTGTACGGGGAGCAGTCACAAAATAAGCAAACGTACGTTTTGAAGACTTTACATATATGTAATATATGTATATGTAGTGCATATCTGTTTCAAGGTTAAGGTTTTTTAGGTACAAATTTAATATTATTGCGGTATACCTATTTTCCATGAACTGCATGGCTAACAAATATGCGTCCCTTCGTCCACTTTAAAGGTACGAAATTAAACGACCACTACTTTAATTAATAAGTAACAAGTCATCTAATTTGCCTCCAGAATAACTATGGATTATCATCAAACTATGAACACCAAATTAATTCAATATGAACATCTGTTTACGTATTTTTTTTATTAACAGTAGTCAAACCATTAAATACATATTATCTTTGAAACTAAAATGCATTTTATCCTAAGATTGTATCACAAAATATTCATCACCATTTAAATATATACGATTTAGACATCAAGAAATAAATTTAAAATTGCAAAAATTATACTAAAACAGCCTTAAATGTGTTTTGTATGTACGTGCTTATCAGTATGTAGGCATTTTAACGCACAGCAATAATCGTTCTTGATGAGTAATGACTGATGACTAGTGTAACACAGTAAATCCTCGAAATCGAAAATTTAAAACACTGAAAAATTCAAATATGGGAAAATTGTAAAATCGAGAAATCGAAACATAAAAAAATCAAAAAAATTAAAATTGGAAAATCTAAAATTTAAAAATCGAGAAATTGAACAATCGGTTAATTCAAAAATTGAAACATCGAAAAATTGGAAAATCGAAAAATAAAAAAAAATTGGACAATCGAAAATTAAAAAATTCCGAAAATTGAAAAATTCAAATATAGAAGAACTGAAAACTCAAAAAATCGAAAAAAATTAATCATTTAAAAAAATTGAAAAGTTAAAATTGAGAAATCGAAAAACTGAAAAATCACAAAATTGAACGAAATATCAAAAAATTAGGAAATTAAAAAAAGTCAAAAAAGCAGAGTCTAAAAATCGCAAACTTAAAAATCGAAAAATTGAAAAATCAAAATCCTGAATAATCGAAAAATTGAAGAACTGAAGAACTGAAAAATCGAAACTTTAGGAAGTGGAGAAATGGGATTATAAAAAAATAGAATAATTGAGAAATCCAAAAACTAAAAATTCAGAAACGTCAAAATTTGAAAAATAAAAAAATATTGAAGAACTGAAAAATCGAAAAATCTAAAATTTAAAACATTGAAAAGTTAAAATATCCTAAAACTGAAAAATGGAGAAATCCAAACATCAAAAAATCAAAAAAAAAAAATCTAAAGTTTAATAATCGAAAAACAAAGAATCAACGAATCGAGGAGTCGAGAATTTAAAAAATTGGACAATTGAAAAATCGGATAAATCAAAAATCGAAACATCGAAAAATCGAGAAAGCGAAAAGCAGAAAATCGAAAAACCAACAAATCGAAAAATCGGAACATTGTAAAATTCAAAAATTGAGACATCGAGAAATCGAAAAATCAAAAGACAAAAAATCGAGGAGTCGAAAAATCAAATAATTGAGAAACCGAAATAGGCCAAAATCGAAAAATCGAAAACTTAAATATGGAAAAATTGATAAAGCGAGAGATTGAATAATCAAAACATCGAAACATCTGAATCTCAATGAATTGAGATCTCAAAAAATTTAAACATTCGTAAATTTAAAAAATTAAAATATAGAACTGGAAACTCGAGAAACTGAAAAATCTAGAAATTTAAAAATTAAAATATGAAAAAGTTGAAAAATTGAGAAATTGAAATAAAAAACAAAAAACTGAAAATCCAAAAATAAAAAATAGAAAAATCTAGAAGTCGAAAAATGAAAGAATCGAAGTATTGAAAAATATCAAAACTGAAAGAAATATCCAAAAATTGAGAAATCGACAAACCAATAAAGCGAAGTCGAAAAATTGAAGAATTGAAGAACTGAAAAATCGAAACTTTGAGAAGTGGGAAAATCAAAAATATATTAATTGAGAAATCAGAAAACTGAAAATTTAACGCAAAAAATTGAAAAATTCAAAAATTTCAATACTGAAGAACTGAAAAGTCAAAAAATTGAAAAATCGAAAAAACTAAAATTTAAAACAATGAATAATTAAAATATCGCAAAATTGAAGAATCGAGAAATCCAATTCAATTTGAAAAATTGAAAAATCGGGGCATTGAAAAATTGGAAAATCCAGAAATTGAAAAGCTCAAAAGAAAAAAATCGAAAAACCGAGAAATCCAAAAATCTAAACATCGAAAAATTCAAAAACTGAGACTGCGAGAAATCGAAAAATCGGAGGATCGAGAAATTGAGGAGTCGGAAGCCGAAAAGGAAAGTTAAAAATTGAAAAATTGAGAAATTGAACAATCAAAACAACGAAACATCTGAATTCGATAAATTTTAAAAAAGAAAAACTGGAAAATCAAAAATTAAAATTCAAAAAATCGAAAAATTGAAAAATTGAAATATAGAAGAACTGAAAACTCGAGATATCGAAAAACCTAGAATTTTAAAAAATGAAATATTAAAACATCGAAAAGTTTAAAAATTGAGAAATCGAAGCATTAAACAGTCCCAGAATTGAAAAATCTAAAGTTTACAATAAATTGAAAATCCAAAAAGGAAAAAGCGAGAAATCAAAAAAAATCCATCAATTCAAAAATCGAAAAGTCGAAAAATTGAAATATTGAAAAATCTCATAACTGAAAGAAATATTCAAAAAATTGAGAAATTAAAAAATTGGAAAATTGAGAAATCGAAAATCTAAAAAAGCAAAATTGAAAAATCGTAATCTTAAAAAATCGAAAAATTGAGGAATTGAAGATGTGAAAAATCGAAACTTTAGGAAATCCAGAAATGGACAAATAAAAAAAATACTTTAGAAATCGGCAAACTGAAAATTTAGAAACGTGAAAATTTGAAAAATTGAAAAATCGACATATTTAAAAACCGTAAAATTGAAGAGGACAAAAATTGAGAAATCGTATCATTGAAACATCGTAAGATTGAGAAATCGAAAAATAAAAAAATCGAGAAATAGAAAATTTAAGGAATGGAGGAATCGGAAAAGCCCAAAATTGAAATATTGAAAAATTGAGACATTTAAAGTTGAAAAATCGAGAAATCGATAAGCCGAAAAATCCCAATAGCGTATTTAGGTATAAATCACAAGATCAGGACTATTCTACTTTTTAAAATTTAAATAACATTATAAATTGGAAAATGTTGATTTTTTTTTCAAAAATCTTGACGTCTAAGGTGAAAACTCGACACGGATGCATAAACCGTAAACGGGGCGAAACGACAATTTTACTATTGTAAAATTTGGAGATTGCGTCATTTCATTGTTCGTGACAAATTTTGGAGAGTGTAATTTGATAATACAATTTGAAATGTAAATTTTGTCATTCGGGAACATTATGTATTAAATCGTTAAGATGTTCAAGAACTTTGTTCACTTATTCGTTGTAAAGTCCAATGGTCGAAATGGGTTAGTTCTTCGTAGTGGTTGTGTATCAGATCAACTCTAACGAATATCGGTTTATAGATAAATCGCTTAAAGCCGATATTGGGCTGAGTGTGCTTTGGTTTGTAGATCAAACAAGTTCTCATATTTGGGAGAGATGGATTTTCAGGTGCTTGACTAGCGGTAATTTTAAATTGTTTGCTGTCGTTCGCGAAGTGAAGAACACAATTTCATTAAAATGATAATTATAAAATTATCATAATCACTATTGGTATTAATTAACACAAAATGGCGCGCAAGTTATCAGTTGATTTTGTTAATAAATTCATAGAAACCTATATGGGATTTTTTCATGCCTTAGAAAATTAAAAAGTAAAAAATACAATAACAAAAATTTTAAAATGCGGTTTACGAAAAATTAGTTGACCTGTGCAAAGAAGAAAATTTTGGAAACGCTGACAAATATGACATCTTAAAAAAAATAACACTTGAAGAAGTGCTTTCGGCGTAATATTTTTGATGCTCGCGTGAACAAAATACTCTGTCAGTGTGCAGTGCGCAAAGAGTTAACTGTGCATAACGGAAGTAATAAATCATCCCATGGGTTGAAGAACGTTGGGTCAGTGCAATGATATCGGTGTTATATCCCGAGAGGGGCCCAATACACCCAATAAAATCGAACAGACAAAATAAAGCTTCAAACATGATTATTTTTTTACTAAAATTCTGAAGTTTAAAAACTGCACATTTTATTTATTTATTTATTTTATCTTGTTTTCGAACTATAATAAACATTTCAAACAATGTCTGTAACTTATTTTAACGTAAATTATATTCATGTGGTTAACAAAATCAGATGTAATATTAGTGTGATTTTGACCTTATTCTAGATTTTATTACAGCAGAACGGCGTATCCTTTTTAAATTTTAGAAGTTACGGAAACAAGTTCAAGAAACAATTAGTTATCTCGTATTTTTTGCACAAAATCTACCAAAATATCCGATAACAGCAATTGTTTTTCATAGAAACAAACAGTCTTCAAAGCAGCCTTTAACAACTTGATATTACAAACATGCCTCTTAAGTTCTTTATGCGTTTTTTTCTCTCTTGTAATTATTTGTAATTTAACGCCGAAAGTTTATGTCATTCTGTTATTTACTTTGAACATATATTTTCA